AGAAAGAAAGAAAGAAAGAAAGAAAGAAAGAAAGAAAGAAAGAAAGAAAGAAAGAAAGAAGGAAGGGAGGAAGAAAGAAAGAAAGAAGGAAGGGAGGAAGGAAAAAGAAGGAAAAAGGGAAAGGAAAGTGACAGGTGGGAGGGAAGGGAGGACAGAAGGAAGGAAGGAAGGAAGGAAGGAAGGAAGGAAGGAAGGAAGGAAGGAGGTGCAACATACTTTGGTATGAAATCACAACATTTGAATCATTTTGTATGCCACTGTACTTTATCTATGTTTAAATGATACTTTAACCATGATTTCATGTATATTTATATTAGCAGATTTCTAGGCTGTCCAGTGGTGGGTTTCAATTTATTTTACTGCTAGCATGCTTGCACACTTGCGCAACCCTTCTGCGCATGCGCAGAAGTCTCCGAGCAGGTGGGCGGAGCCTCCCACCACCACCACTACCAGTTTGCCCGATCCGGGGCGAACCGGCAGAAACCCACTTTTGAGGCTGTCCCATTCCAAATTTCATTATGCAGATCAGAAGCACCAAGGAAATATCCCCTCTACTTCCTTTCTCTTCCTTTCCCTTCTCTTCCCTGCCCTCTTATCTATGGTTCCTTGTCCCCTTTTCCTTCCTTCCCTTTTCCCTTTTTCTTCCCTTCCCCTCCTTTTCCCCTGCCTCTCTCCCTCTCCCTCTTTCTTCCCCTTCCCCTTTCAGGCCTGTGTAACAGAGGCAATGCAAGTGACTGACAGCCCTTGTTTTCTCATGACGCACGTGTCTTGAGAAAAAATATGCAGAGGCTTCATCTTTGTAATTACGGGAAGTAGGAAAGCTGAAATGCGTCTCGAAACAAGTGTCGAGCCGAGGTGATCAAGCTGACAGTTTCATAATCAGTTGTCATCTTGAATTTATGTTAAAAGTCATTATTTAAAGGATTTGAATATTTTGATCAGAGTTGGGGAGGCTGGATGTTACATGATTAATCCGGACCAAACAAGGTGATAGTAAGCTAAACTGCACCCATTAAGGAGAAGGGGGAGATTAAATGAATTCCAAAATTACCAGATAAGGAAAGGAAAGGGGGAAAGGAAACTGTAGTGATGATGATGATGATAATAATAATAATAGCAGTTAGACTTATATACCGCTTCATAGGGCTTTCAGCCCTCTCTAAGCGGTTTACAGAGTCAGCATATTGCCCCCAACAACAATC